CCGGGTCTGCCAGCAGGATCGGGTCCCAGGAGACCACCAGCACTCACGCCCCCAACCCGCTCTCGGATGGCACTGTACCATCCTGCCTGCAATATGCAAATTAGCTGCCATCTTTTTTGGATATCTCGCTGATTTGCATATCTCTCTGATTAGCCAATGAAAAGAGTATCGGTCGTACGCCAATTACCATTTTTCTCTTTTATTAGTTTAGATTGTTTATCTTCCTTTTGTTAACATATATGAGTTCCATATAAATTTTGGAGATTGGCCCTTATAGGATATAACATTGGCAAATATGTTCTTCCATGCAGTGGGCTTTCTTGTTGTTTTGTTGATGATTTCTTTTGCTGTGCAGAAGCTTTTTATTGTGTTTGTTTTCTTCTTAGTTTTCATTGCCATAGGAGCTGTATTGGCAAAGATATTGCTATGACTTGTCTGATATTTTGCTGCCTATATGTTCTTCTAAAATTTTTATGGTTTCATGTGTTTTTTTCTCTTTTTGCTTTTTCCCCTTCTGGAAGACCCACTACATTATCCGAGTTAATGAAAAGCATAAATATGGTTTATTTGAACCTATTAGGATTTTGAATTCCCTCGCCCACCCTTGCCACATTTTGAATTTGTTGGAGGCCTCCACTGTAAACCTGCTAAGCCTCTGCCTAAGGTAAAACTATTCATGTTTTTTCTACTTTGATTATTTTGCACTTTCATTAGCAATGATTCTGTGTTCTTCATTCCGAATTTCTGACCACATGGTGAGAGATGTGGGAATCTGGGTCAAGTGACAATTAGAAAATCATACATTTTATACTATTTCAAGAATCTGAATGTCATTATCATTACCAAATAAATAATTATACTTAGGAGACTTTGGAAATAGGGTCAGTTAAATTAAGTTCTTTACTGTTGAATATATAAGAAAGTGTCAATCATTCATTCAAAGAACATTCTTAGAGTGACTAGCATAGTCCAGAGATAAGTGCTGGATAAGAGAGAAATGGTGAAAACACAATTTCTATGCATAAATGCCTGACATTCTACTTGGAAAGGTAGAATATAAGTAATAAAAATTGTGTGAAGAGTAGTATAATAGGGAAGATCACAATGCTAAACAATATCCCGCAGGTATTATAGAAAATATTTCATATCATTGATAATTAAGTGGGACCTGAATGCTGTGTACTAATAGCAGAAGGAGTGGGAATAAAGGAAGACACAAAAGGTAATGCCAGAAAAATAATAATGACAATTCCCAAGAAGTCCAAGTTTAGTGTATCAGGAAGAGGCTGAATAAAGAGGCAGATGATGCTGGAGAAGTAAATTAGAGATAAGTAATTATAGGAATACTGAAGCATCTTATGAAAGTATAGAGGAGCCAATGAAAAGGGGAAAAGGGAGTAAAAGAGCAGATATATGATCAGATTTTCCTTTTCACAAAGCCCTCAAGATGTAATCTCTGGATTGAATTGCATAGGGACAAGAGTGGAAAGACAGACTAAGAGGAGGCTGTTGTGAGAATTCCAGCAACAAATAATGGAAAACTACACATTAAAGATGTGAAGAAATCTACTCTTATAGTTATAATATCAACCTCATATTTCTATTCAGTATAAAACATACTTTATATGTATAATAGAGGTCCAGTGCATGAATTCATGCACCAGTGGTGTCCCTTGGCCTGGCCTGAGGGATCGGTCCAAAACCGGCTCTCCAACATCCCCTGAGGGGTCCAGGATTGCGAGAGGGTGCAAGCAAGGCTGAGGGACCCCACCAGTGCACGATCGGGGCCGGGGAGGGACACAGGAGGTTCGCCCGCTGGGGAGGGTCCACAGGAGGGCTCCAGGGCATGTCCGGCCTGTTTCATTCAGTCTGAATGGGGCAGATCCCAGCAGCAAGCTAATTTACCAGTTGGAGCATCTGCCTCCTGGTGGTCAGTACACATCATAGCGATGGATGACCGGTCAACTATCTGCCGTCTGGGAGTCAGTGCATGAGCAGCCTTACCATATCATTAGCATATTACACTTTGATTGGCTGAACAGATGACCAGATGAGTGGACACTTAGCACATTAGGCTTTTATTATATAGGACTAGAGCCCCAGTGCACAGATTTGTGCACCAGTGGGGTCCCTCAGCCTGCCTACATCCTCTGGCAATCTGGAACCCCTCGGAGGATATCAGATAGCCATTTTTGGCCTGATCCCCACAGGTCCAATTGAGACAGGAAGGAGCCCAATCCTGTACATTGAGCGTCTGTCCGCTGGTGGTCAATGCATGTCATAGAGACCAGTTGACTGGTCATTTGGTTGCTTAGGCGTTTATATATATAACTCATATTTACTATTTTTAATCCATGTTTCAGGCTATAATAGTCTCATGTTTAATTTATCAATACACATTTTTAATCAGTTTCTTTTATTTTAAATTCTTGCTTTTGTATGTATTCTATGTTTAGTTGCCAGAATTATTTGTTAAAGGAAAAATTTGATCTTCTGATTTTGCTTCTTTAAAATTTGGGTAAATAACATTTGCCTATAAATTAAAATTGAAACCATTCTACATTACCTATTCTCTCATATTTCAATCTAACTTTCTTCAATAACCTACTTCCCACAACTTTCTCTGTGACCCATGCACACTGGAATGTTTCTCATTTCTCTACTCATTGTGAAATCTGTCCTTTGGCCACACTCTGCCTAGATCCTACCAAGGCTTTCATCTCACCTCATATGTTATCTGTTTTACTACAGTTGTTTCCAATTATTCCATAAAGGATTATGTTTTTTCTCTGGAATTCTGAACACTCTGTACTAGTCATAAGACTCTTATCCAAGCAAATTATTTGCTATTTCACATAGGGAAAATGATGTAGAATATGTTTTAACGTAAACCACTTGCCACCTTCAAATTCAGAGTGGAACGGATGTTGGTGTGTGTGTGTGTGTATGTGTGTGTGTGTATTGTGTGTGT